AGATATCTGGAGTTGCAGATGTGTAGGTTAGCATTTGCCATGGTGCTTAACAGTAATGATGGGGGAGCTGTTAACTGTGCTTGGCTGAGTCCTTACTTCTCTTTTACCCCTGCTACTGCCATTCTTGGTTTGGGGAAAAACAAACAAAACAAAAAAAGAAACAAGCCATCACAAACAAACAAAAACCACACTGGCACAAAAAAAAAACACTGCACAGAAATCTAGCAGGAAGTTTTCTTTCCCATTTATGGTGAGAGAACGTCTGAAATATCTGCCTCTTTATGAAAACCTTAGAGATGTGTTACGATCTGCGGCTTCCAGGCTTCGCCCAGTGTCATCAATGCACAGTTCCTTATTAAAGCAGGGAAAGGACCACCTTCACCACATCAGTGGTATTGATGTCCTCAGGACCATCACTCAGTTGTTGCCAAGTCTCTGCAAGAACATGTATGTGAAGCTGCTTCACGTTAGTGCCACAGCATGGCTAACAACTACCTGGAGCCTTTCTTCCAGCCAGTCATGGAGGACTGGGAGCAAAATTTGCCAGAAGGAATTCTTTATTATCTCACCAGGATGCTCAGAAATGTTCTGTAAGTGTGCCCAGACACGTGTCTCTTGTCAGTAGAAAAGCAGCAGAGGCACTAGCACAAAAAGGACTGCTGGGAGAGCAGTCTGTTTAATACAGAACTGAGTGTACTCTTGTGACATTGTGGTCTCTGGGACGCAGGAAAAATTCATTGCTTGTGCCTTGGTTTGCTGGAGGAGTGATTAGATGTTGTGTGTTGGGTGGGTGCCCCTAGCCCAGTCCTGTTGATTCTGTACCACTTTCATGGAGTGAGATGATTGAGAAACAGGAGGTATACAAAGGAGCCTCTCCTATTCAGATCAAGTGGAGCAAGGGGTTGAATTTGGGTCTGCTGTGTCTGTGTTGAATGCTCTTTCACCTGTCCCAGAGTTGTCTTGAATGGGAGGAGCAAAGCAACTCACTATTATTACTATAGCTCGAGGAAAACTATTGTGGTAGAAGGACCAACCTCACATTACAGCCCTGGCTGAACTGCGTAGGTCCCTGTCCTTTTGAAGATGGGGGCCTGGGTGCCAAAGTCAAGGCTGTGATGCTGTAGGTAGCCTGTGGACAAACAGGTTAGTTGCTTCTGTGCAGAGCAGAGTATGGTTTACCTACGCATCAGAAGCTTGTACCCTCACTTGCGATCTCAGCACCAGACAGGAAATAAAATCCTTTGTTTCTCCTTGCACAGAATGTGTTTGATTCTGAGCTCCGAACTGTACTGATGAAGTTTTCAGAGAAAATTAAACTTCCTGACTTCCTTGTAGGATTGAGATGAAGTGGCAGGTGGGAGTGGCTGGAGCGTAAAGGAACAGGACTGCTAGAACTAGAAAGGTAGATATCTAAGAGCTTTGAGAAAGGAAAGTTTGCACTGAAACGTGAAAGGAGAAGCAGATTTTTCTGGAAGATGCTTCAGATTGTCAAGCAAGACAGCCGTATCGGGGAGATCCTATTAAATTACTGCAAATTCTCATTCTAAATGAGGCATTGGATTAGCACAGTGACTGCAGAATCTGTTGGATAATTGTCCTCTGGATAATGACAGTAGAACAGACCTCTGTCTCTCAAAAAAACCCACAAACCCACTGAAATAAAAACACTCTACTGGCTTGCCAGCTTGGGTCATAAAAGATGACTTTTTCCAGTCGCTTTCTGTAATCTCTAGCTTAAATACAGGTAGCGATTCAGGATCTCTGTAGAGCTTGTATTAAGAGGCAATGTTTGTGTTCCCCTTTACAGGGAAAAGAATTATGCAGCCTCAGATCCTGGAGGTGAACTTTAATCCTGACTGTGATAGAGCCTGCAAATACCACCCTACCTTTTTTAATGATGTCTTCAGCACCCTATTTCTGGATGAAACAGACAGCTGCCATGTGACGTGCATTGTCTAGCCACAGGAGGCTTGATTCCATGAATTTTCTTCACAGATATGCTTAACAGCAAGATTTATATTTCAGTTCTATGAGCTGCTGATGCAACTGTTTTCCTATACTGGTAACCTAGGGAAAAGAAATCATGTCAGAAGAATATGCATAAATCATATACTGTATTGATAATAATTTTGTCTGCATTTTCCTTGTCTTGCTTAGTTCTATAAATCATGAGTTTGTGTTGACCAAATGTCTTGTTTATTGAATACGGGAGATGTCAAAATAGGACAGTCCTGGAGCAATTGACTTGTTTCTCAGGTAGCCTGATTGCTTGCTTGCGAGGAAACATTGGAGAAGTTCCCCATGTCAACATTAAAACTATAATTTACTGAATCATGTTGGAGTTTGTATAGCTCTTTCTTATCTATCCCTCATACAAAAATCTAAAATGTTCTATTGGGAAAATAATATGGTATTTCAGTGCAATGAAATACTATGGTAATGAGATGACAAATTTGATGGCTCTTCCCTTTTTTTTTTTAACTTAAAAAATAGGCAAACAAAACCACAACACTTAGGATCCCTGTACTGCTGGCTGTCATCCTTAGCCTGCCCCTTAAAGAAACTAGATTTTTGAGAAGGGGTCAGGCAGGAAATGAGAAGGATGCAATGTCTAGGGCAGCACAGGAATACGGAAGAAGCCTGAAGGAATGAAAAGGGATCTGGGAAACTCTGCTAGAAGCCCAAGCAGACTTTAGATTTTAGAGTTTGCGACCTAAGGTAGAGGTATTTGGGAGTGGGCTATCAGTTTGAAATTAACCAACCATTCCTAATCTCCCCTCAAATCAGGGTAACTGGCTGAAATTTAGCAATTTTAGGCTGTATTTATGTTGCTTTGTGTGTATGTACAAGTTGCAAAAATTCTGCTGTCCATCATGAAGTACATTTATTTCAGTAGTATTTTTTTAGCTAGTTGCAGCAATCAGGATCTGCTTGAGATGAAGTACAGTTCTAAAATGGTATAAATGTTCTAAGCCTTGCTTCGAGCTTTGCAAATACGCAACATGTTATCCCTCGTGATCAGGAAGGGAGAGGAATATTTTAGGCTGGTCTGCAGAAACCTACTTCTTTCCACTTACTGGAACATAGGCTGTAGAAATAAACCATCTGTGTCTTACGAAAATTCAGTCACTGCACAGGTGGGGCAGAAGGGAGAGCTGGATTGCGCAGCCAGAAGTGGCGCTGACAGTGGTATCGGAGTCCTGTTCATGAATCAGAACGTTTTTGAGTCCTTACTGTAAATGTGAAGAAAGAAACAGAGAAATGCTTATCATAGATGGTGTGACTCCTTCCGATGTAGGGAAGATGTTTATTGAGATGGTGAGGTGTCTTGAGACTTGACATTTTTCTGGTCTCTCGTGAGACCCCACCTGGAATACTGTGTTCAGCTCTGGAGTCCCCAACACAAGAAGGACATGGAGCTGCTGGAGCAGGTCCAGAGGAGGGCCACAAAGATGATCCGAGGGCTGGAACACCTCTGCTGTGAAGACAGGCTGAGAGAGTTGGGGCTGTTCAGCCTGGAGAAGAGGAGGCTCCGGGGAGATCTTGTTGCAGCCTTCCAGTACTTAAAGGGGGCCTACAGGAAAGCTGGAGAGGGACGTTTTACAAGGGCATGTAGTGATAAGACAAGGGAAATGGCTTTAAACTGAAAGAGGGGAGATTTAGATTGGATATAAGGAAGAAATTTTTCACTCAGAGGGTGGTAAGGCAGTGGAACAGGTTGCCCAGAGAAGTTGTGGCTGCCCCATCCCTGGAAGTGTTCAAGGCCAGGTTGGATGAGGCTTTGGGCAACCTGGTGTAGTGGAGGGTTTTCCTGCCCATGGCAGGGGGTTGGAACTAGGTGATCTTTGAGGGCCCTTCCAACCCTAACAATTCTATGATTCTATAAGGGGACATGCAGTGCTACTCGGCAGATGGATTTGTTGCTTGTAGCAGAGCAAAAGGCACTTCTGTCTTCAAAGTACCTGAAAACAGGTAACAAAGTTCCTGTGGATCTAGAGTGAAGGGGAGGGTTTCCCTCATGACAAAGGGAAAATTGATGTCACGCTTAGCAAACCAGATTGACTTTAAAAAACATAAGATTTATGCAGTGGGACCTCATGCTGTGGTCAGAAAGTGTCTGCTGTTGTGCTCTTAGACAAAAGAGATGTTTTTATCTTCTAGGAAGCAACTAGTTGAACTAAACATCCCAGATTTTACGATGTCAGCTACTGTAACCTTGAAGAGGAGAAACCTTTGTTTCTAGTTCTAAGCACCTGAAGTGAGGTGTGAGTAGGAGACACTAGTAGCTATGGCATATGTACTGCCATGCTGGGCAACAGACCCATCTGTGGGCTGGCTGCCAGCTCCGCTGTCAAGGTCTGGTGGTGAAATGGCATCACACTGAGGGTCCAGGTGGAGTACGTTAGTGCTGTTTGGCCAGTGCTGCTGGTAATGTCTCAGAGGTGTGTGCAGGGGGCTGCTGAATATTTGGGTCCTCCCAGTTTCTGTCCAGGTGCTCTGAATTTCCTGTTTTGTCTTGCCATTGCAATGGTGAGAAGAGATGAAGGGGCTATCTTTGAGGCTACAGCATCCTGTGGTCTTCGGTATTTTTCCGCTCAAAACCATTTAAAAATAATACAGAGGAACAAGGTTAGTAAGTTTACATGTAGTTTAATGCATTTAGCTGACACTAGATTGTACAATGCCTCAAAGTGGGAAGGCACAAACCGTGAAAAAGATCTCATCTCAAATGTTTCCAGAGTACAGTGACCAAAAGATAAATATCTAGCAGCTGTAGTGGGACACATCATAGCACTAAAGCACCATGTCTAGTGGTAAACATAAAGATTCAGGCTACAATCATGCCTGTCACCGTTAGGAGCAGCTTTCTGGAAGCTGTGTTAATATATGGCTGGATTTCTTCCCCTGAACATCATGAAGTTGGAGTTCATGCTTATTTCTGGTAACAGTTAAAATGCAGCTGTCATATAAAATGTAACACTGTAATACAGAAAACTAGTACTTTTCAGTCATCGATGTCTTTTAGTTTGATGTAAAACCCAGTCAGGCATACACCCCTTTGACTTGCCTAGTAAAGGCATATTTGTACTGTACTGCTTTGTCAACTTGTAATTAGCAAACTAATAGTATTAGTAGTTCAGCTAAAAATAAAATAAGGCCATAACTTTATTTAGAAAATTCTTTTGGAAAAAAAAAAATCTTTTTGCCTGAAAATTGTTTATTCAGATTGTTTCTTGTTGCTATTGTCCTTCCAGACACGGTAATTGAGTGCAGTAGCCATGGTTAGCCACGCTAAATAAGGAACCATCAAATAAGCTGCTGTTTTCTTGATGTTATACCAGGAAGCAGTTGTAGCTGTTGCTGTACCAGTCGTGAGCAGGAGAGTCACCAACCCCTGAAACATAGGAAGGTGGTTAGTGTTGGTTTTACTTGTTGCATTTTCTTGACTAGATAGTCTTTGTGTGGCTCTTTCCACTTAGCTCTGGCACTTGTTGGACCACTCTGTGAGTTAACTTCTCAGAAAACCAGCCAGCAAAAAAAGATAGATTTCACTTAGTTATGAGTCAATTTGACTCATAAAACGATACAAGAGTCACAAAAAATGGCATTGCAGCTGGGAGCAGGAGAGGGAGAATAAAATCCCTCTCACCCACACCCTCTTTTTTTGGCAGGGGGTAACGTTACATTGACTACAAACCCAGTGTGACTTTGAGCATGTCAGTCTTTTCATGTCACAGATGCTGCCTGAAGGGAGGTGGCAGGAATCAATCAGTGATGGATTGCAAAGTCCTCCACTGTTACAGCATGGCATGTAAGTTTGGAGAACCAAGCAAATATTTTTTGTTTTATTATTGATTTTTATTTTTGAAGCAAGCTGTTTCTCTTCAGACTGCAGAAAATTAGTCTGTCTAAAATGGGTGCTGATTACCTGAGTAATGTTATAAGCTTCTTATCAGTGCTGTTTGCCAGAGATACCTAGGAATTTTAGCGAGGCATAAATGTTCGCATTTTCTAGTCACACGAAGCTCTTATCATTGAGTGGCAGAAAGAGTTTCTTGAAATCTAAACGTTTAAGGATGTTGTAGATATGTAAATTCTCTCAGGTGGCTGCTGGCATGCATTAAAGAGAATTTTGGAAAACTGTAAGCCATATTCTGTACTCAAGCTCATTTTCAGGGAGAAAAGATTATGACAGAAAACTTTTGTCTTAGCACCTTGCAAATGACAGCAGAAGCCTACGATTAAGAAACTTACTTTTCCACTTACCCATCCTATTTTGTGAGCTCCAAAAAATACTGGAGTCCATGCCCAGTTTAATGCCAGCTGCCCTGCATACAGACCCAGAGGAACCACTGACTTTTCGTTGAAGCCCCCCAGTTCCTTCCACACCAGGTAGGAGCCATATCTGGAGAAAGCAAATGTAAGGTGTGATTCAGTACACTGGTTAGAAAGCAACCACACGTTCTTGAGTGAATGAAATTACTTCAGTGCTAGGGTCTAAATTTACTTGGAAAAGTAGATATCCAGGTGTTACTTGGCACAGTAACTGACTGCACAGGGTTGATCACCTGCTGTGGACAGCAATATGGAGAGAAAACAATTCCCTATTCTGCCAGGGTTCTCACTTCTAAGTGCAGACGAGCAAATGACCTACTGCATTTCAGTCTTAAAGGAGAAATCCGTGTTGAAGTGGAATCAAGTCTAAGATGCAAGGGTAAAAGGTAAGTCTCTAAATAGTGAAGAAACTGTTAATTTTGGTACTGGGAGATGGTGCTTTAAAAATAAATTAAAAAAAACCCAAACAAACACAACCCACTTGTTAAGTGGATTAAAGAAAAAGAAGTAGGAATTGAGTGGCATAGAGTGAGTAGGGAGAGGGAGGGTGTTAGAGCAGGAGGAACCCTGTACTCACTTTTCAGAAGGAAGAGGATGAAGATGGGGAGAACAAAGATTTTAGGAGTTCTGTGGAAAGGATTAACCACAAGGAGCATCCAGCACCCTGGATCCTGGCTACTGAAAGATTTTCCAAAAATATTTCGAACAGATCTTAATGCTACAGAAGAACAGTTCACTGGAGGGATCCCAGAATTTAAGCTGCTAAAGGCAGAAATTCTCAGGATTTGGGAGATTTACTAATGTAAGGTTTATTTTTCCACTGAAGGAGCCTGACTAGAACAGGGAGCATACATCACCTAAGACTATTTTGCTTTCGTTTGACTTTCCCTTTAGACATTAGCTAGATTTCAATCCAGAAGACTGCACAGCCATTCCAAGTGACGACAGTAGAAATCTCCTGGATAAAATGCCAACATCTGGAATTACACCCCTGTTTCAGAATTAGTAGCTGAATACTGATTCCATCACGGTAGCGATGTCAACTGGACTGTGTGCTACCCTGGATGGCGGGAGGCTCGTACGTATTTCTGCTGGCAGCGGAGGAAAGATGGAGATCAACTTGTAAGCAGTTTTTTTTTGTTTGTGTTTTTTTTTTTTTAGAAGCAGACAAACATCCATAGGAGTAATTGTAAGGAGTTTATTTTCATTTGTAGGACATAGAAGAAGGATTTTTTTTTTTCTGTTTAACCCAGTTAGTGACTCAAGCTTGCTTTTTGGCCGTTTCATTCATAGGGACTGAACAATGCAGCTTTGATATCTTGGCAGTTTGATCGCAGAGAGTATTAAAAAAAAGAAGGGGGGTGGGGTAAGCATTAGAAACTTCACAGTTTATCTTTGTAAAAGGCATCAGGACCTGCTCTTAAGTGATTTACAGAGCTGCAGTGTGGCCTTACAGTTGTTCATACCTCTGACTTTGACTTCAGACCAAGATCACGACGTATAAATCTGCTAGGAAGCTAAATGTCAAGAAAGGCATGTAAGCTTATTAAATCTTGCTTTTAGTTATTCCCTGCTTTTAATACATTCAAGAGATTCTAAAGGAATGCGATGTCTTGATCACTCAAAGAATGTGTGCACATGATGGATTACAGAAGAAAAGGCCTGGTAATAAATGTTTTTTCACTGAGCTAGATGTATAGTACATAACCAGTGCCATCCACCTCAGTATATACTGATTCCGATATTATCAAAGTGATAAGCTGTCACAATTTAGATTTTTAAAATATTTAACTTGATATCCAGGTTTATGACGAGAAATCCAGAAACAGGGTTACAAAACATGCAGTCAACTTGAAGGAAGCCCTTCATGGGAAAGCCACTCAGCTCTTGCATCTTAGATAAAAGGCATTTTTTTATTAACAGGACAGTAACGATCTGAATCAAATGCCAGCTCTTGGAAAATACAAGAGTAGAGAGCAATTTTAAAAAGCACACTCTGTAAGAGGAGAAAGAAAGAGGATACTGATGGGAAAGGAGGACACAGTACATGAGGCTATAAAAACTACAAAACTCTTCTGGAAACAGAAGGAAACCAAAAGGAGAGAATGCATGAGCATGCCAATTTAGCATTCAGATACAGTGTCAGACATTGCATCATTGCTGGTTTTTGCAACAGGTGATGTGGAATTTAAGATGACCTGCAGGATGAGTAATGTTAACTTGGAAAAGATTTGGTTTCTGAAACTTTATATAGTTAAGCCAGTGCTGCATACAAACTACAAATCACTTAAAAATGTAGTGGCATAATGGGATAAAATAGGAGGGGCGAACCATAAAAGGCATACTGCAGCCCAAAAACTATTACTATTGGATTAGCAACAATTGTGTATTTCATAGCTAGGAAAAAAACATGCTGAATGTTGGTATGTAGCTAGTTCTTAATGAAAAGTGCAGAAGAGACACAAAGCATCGCTTTGTGCCTGGGGGCTGCACTGACCTCTCGGGCTCCAGGAGCAGAGTGCTACCTCTCCTCCGTGGCACGGCTCACCAGAGGTAACAAAAAAGCACGTAATGTTGGGTGGACAGCTTCTAGAGCAGTTTGTGAGGAGTATGAAACCACCCAAACAGTCTTCTGAGAGAACCGACCTCTACAAATATTTCTGCTACATCTTATGAAGACTAACAGCTGCCAAAATACAGTGTTATTAAACTTGTGAGGTACTTGTGGGAATGGTATTTGGCCTTGTGATTCCTTGTTCATTTGACAGTAATTGCTGTGCTGTCAAGTATTTTAAACTAGTTAAATGAGGAGGCAGAGACGGCTTCAGGCACTTACAGTTTAACAGCCTGGCAGTTTTATTTTTATGCATATTTTTATTTTGGTTTCTTTTAATTGAGTTCTGTTCTTTTCATTGAGTTCATCCCCCCCCGCATCCCCCCCTGCCCCCATCCCACCCTTGCTTATTATTTTCCTAAAACTACTGAAGGACATACATAGAAGAAATCCCAGTGCTGCCTTGCTCCATCGCTGCCAGCTTGGCAGGTCTTCCCCTCAGAATGAATGAGGAAAGCACATTAATGGCAGGGTTTTTGACTCCTGCTTTTGATGTGGATCCTTATGCATCGAAAATCAAACCCACACACAACTCCCAAAACATGTTTTTACCTGTCAAACAGGCAGCTTGACACAGTTTCCTACAAATATACAGCTACAAGAATACAATAATAGTTCTCTGGTCCAGCATTATACAATAAGCAACTTCGAGATCAGATAAGTGCCTTAATACAATGTGAAAAACATACCCCATAGATGTATAGAGAGTTCCCCAAACAGGAGCAAACACCCAGTTAGGTGGACACCAGGATGGCTTTTGTAGAGATTCATACCACACTGGGATTTCCTTTCTGGTTATCTTGCTTCCTAAAAGTCCTCCTGCATGGGGCAGGAGTGTGAAACCCACTGCTGGGGCCCAGGCTGGTACAACTTCCATTGAGACAGTGAATCTGAAACAAACCCAAACATGGTGATTCACAGAGCGATTTTTAATGAAACTAGAAAACCACTCCAATTTTAGCTGATTTCAGAATATACCCACGTGTAGGATCTGATCTCATGCCAGCTTCACTGCACAATACTCACCCCTATAAAGGAGCCATGTTTATATTTGGTGGGGATGGGCGCTGAGCCCTCCACCTCCCTCTTAGCTTTGTGCAGTAAGATTACTGAATTTTACCTACATAAATATTCTCCCCCATAAAGTATGCCAGAAGAATAAAGCAGTTAGATATTGTATGAGGTCCACTTAGGCAGGGAGGCTGGGGGGAGCACCAAGTGTGTATTTCTGTATTCATTAAAAGGTCCATTCACTCGGTGGAGTGGCGTCAAGAGTAAGAATACTCTGTGCATTTTCCTGTGCTCAAGCAAAATAATTTTGCACCTCGTGTTGCGTTCTTAGCCTCAAAAGGGCACTAAGGATGCCCAATGGCTAGTAAGAGTGGTGTGAACTAGTAGCAGAGAGAAGCTGCCTCAGAAGATAAACACCAGGGAGGACACTGAAGAGATAAGTACTTAAATGATGTTTTGCTAAACAAGGAAGGAGATCTTGCTGGATAAATGGGGAGTACACCTGTGGCTTCTTCATGAAGCACTCAATCAGTTGCAGCAATCTTGCCTGCCAAGCCCACGAAGTGTAGTAACTGGATTAAGTTCACCTACAGAAGTCAGACCAAGTAATGCCTCGCTCTGGTAGGCCACGCTGCTTTAGTTAAGAGTACAGATGGCAGTAAAAAAAGTAAGCAGGAAAAAGCTTCATTGCAGATTTTCTGGCCAAAAGCCAAATGCTACAGAAGAGCTGTGTTTAGCTTGCTAAAACATAAACAGATCAGAGGTATGATAAAAAAGGGCAGAACTGAAACGTGTTATTTTTTCAAATATACAGCAGGCAAATACACCCAGTTCCTGTTCATCTCTTACGCAGGAGAGGGAGACAGCAGGAAGGAATCATCAGAGAGACTGCAGCAGTGGGGAAAGAGCAACTGTGGAAGCCCCAGGAGTAAAAATAAAAGTTTCAGATCAACCAGCATTTCAGAGGCTCGTCCAAGAGAAGCGCCTATTGGCTTGGCTGTTGTCTTGGCTTATGTTTAAAGGTTTTTATTGCTATAGTTATGACTGATGGGATGAGGAGGCAGGGAGTGGGGAAGAGGAAATCCCACTTGTAACAGATGTGCTTAAACTGATAGGAAATAGCGCACAGATGACGTTGCGTTGTCGCAGTTCTACTGGTACAGTGGATTTCTGTTTGCAGAACAGGTATAAGTTGGCCAACAAGGGAGCTCTCTTCTGCATTATGGTGTTTGTCCCTGTACTTGTGGATCTGCCCATGCAGTTACGCAGATTTAATGAAGAGATTTCAGTGGCTCGGACCACAAGCCAGATTGCATGGCATCAAAAAAGAACATGATGGTGATAGAAGCAGAGCAGAATTTCGAAGGCAAAACAGAGTGTGGAGGGACTGGTAAAGCATGCAGGATTAGAAAGTTTGTAAGGAGCAAACAAGAAAGGACATGTAGGCTGCTGGCCTGTGGGCATGCCTCAGGAGAGAGACGTGGGAGGGCCATGAGTAGGAATGCACACAAAAAAGGCAGCAGACAAAGCTGTACAACAGTCAAAGCCAAAACAAACAGAACAAAAGAATGAAGGAGTGAAAGGAAAACTAAGCAGGGAAGAATTCAGAACTAAAAGTGGGGAGAAGAAGTGGGAGAAAGATGTGCTAGTCTGCTGGAATGGTATCAATTAGGTCTTGGGTGGAGGATGGACAACAAGGAAGGGAGGAAAAAATCTGCATAGCTCATTGCTGTAGTCATTGCTGCCATACTTCCTGCCTAATGGATTCTACTTGCTGTTTACAAGGAAGCATCTTAAATGGAGCAAAGGAGTTAATATGTTCTCCTACACCTAGATCTGCATTGTTACTTTCCTGAGGGAGCAGGCTGTCAGGATACACTACTTGTCACCCATACTGACAGCATGAAAGGCTCTGCTTTTACCTGGGATGTGAAGGAATTGCTATGCGCAGGAACAACAAGGTGTAACGGGGACAAGAGCTTCAAGCACAAGGATTCTCTTTGGTTGCCTTCAGATAAGTAATTCCCAAAGGTTAAGTTAGAAATTTAAATTTACTAAGATCTCACTAATTCTTAACCCTGTCACTCTTGCTTTACCTAGAGAGAGAACACCAGGTTCAGCACTGACAGCATGCGTACTAGAACTAGTCATCTGTGCAGCTCCAGCCTGGCTGTCAAATGCTAATTTATTTTTTTTTAAAGTGATCAGCAAGGACCCAAAGAGGTTTTTTTTCTTTATTTGGATGTAACTATTAGGGTGGTTTCCTGCAGGTATTAAGCAACTGGGCATTGTCAGGGGTTCTGTCAGCTTCTCCCCAGGGAAGAAAGTCTGAAAGTGTTCTGCAGGCTTAAAGTGCTAAATGCTATCAAATTGGAAAAATATTGCTCTGCTGCAGTCATTCGTGAATAAATGATGTAGCTACATGTCTGTCCCTCTGCATGTTGGAGGAAGAACACTGAAATAATTCTTAAGTGACAAAACAAAGAAAATCAGGCAGGCAAACAAATGGGGAAGGCACAAAGCAAAGAAACAGGGAAAGCGAAGCTGTGCACAGACAGGAAAGGGGAGGAAACAGAAGTGAAGAGACCAAACATACTGGCTTGAATTGAATGTTGGTGTCCCAGTCTTTTGACTACTCTTACTACTAATTATGCACTATGGTTTCCAACAGTATTTCTCAGGACTTCCTAAGCATGGCAAAAGGCTCTCTCTTGCATAGTACCAAGGAGAAACAGGAACGAAGCCATGCGGCAAGATCGGAACGTGCTGGTAGGCTCAGCCTAGTAGACCACAGCTGTCCATTGGCAGTGGGAGTTCCTGTATGTTAATTCCCAAGAAATGAAATACTAGTATCAATTTCCCATAAAAAGCAGTAGCTAACTCAGGGAGCTGCACTAGCTGATTTTGGAAGAAGCCATGTCCACCCTTCTCTGGTTACCTGGTATAGGTCTTTAATGGGAGAGTGAGCCAAAGGCACGGATGCGCGGGAGAAGCGGTGCCTTCGGTCAGCGCGGCAGTGCGTGTTTGGTTAGCTGTGCACCACAAGACCTGTGCAACGTTCACAGAATGCCCAGTACAGTTTTTGAAAGTAATGTCATCGCAGAGGATATAAAGGACTATCAGCCCTGTCTCCCTTTTAACGTATAGCTGAGAATCCTGACATTAATTTACATGGCACAGGCTTGCTAACACAGCCCCTCTGGCTGCATCTATATGACACAACCTAGAAATAATTACTACTTTCCCACTCATACCCCAGCTCCACGTCAGGGTGAGATCTGCTTGCACAACATTCTTGCACTCTGATTTTCATACTGAAGAAACCAGGATGTCTGTGGATGATATCTGCAGCGTGCCCAGCAGATTATCTGCCTCTAAGAAGAACCACAGTTGGAAATCTTTTCTCCACACATGCACACTTAACATGTTTATTTCTATTTCGACCTCTTATCTCTGCCCTGCAACATTTTCTTCACCATCCTGCCCATTTTCTGTTTAGCCCTGGTCTGACTTCAGGCAGTTTCAGCAGTGCAGTGAGGGCTGCAGCAGGCCAGTTTGTTTTACAAACATGTTAAAATAATTTTTCCGGGTATTCAAAACATCTGACTTGCCCAAAGATGGTTCTTGCTACCTAAAATAACAGGAGAAATAAAGATGTGGGAGGAAAACAATACTGCAGCTTGCTGCTTCTGTGTTTTTGCAGATCATTTCTCTGTGGTGGTGTAACATGCAGAAAATCAAACAGAAGCTTTCAGTGTCCTCCTCTTTCTGGAAGAAAAATGAGGGGGTGCGCTATCCCAAAAAAAGTGATGGGATCCACTATGAGGGGGGACTAGATATAAAATGACAGAGGAGCTGGCTTGCTTCAGTCTGAAGAAACAATGAACTAAAACACTTCTTTGGTTTGAGCAGGTCTCTGAAAGGCAGGTGGGTCCCTTCTCCTTCTCTGGACGCTCCCACGGAGAGCTCAGTCAGTGGGAAGGAGAAGGAAGGAAGGAAGGAAAGACAACTGCTTCCATTGCATTTTCTTATCTCCCTGTTCCGATAAACCTCTGACTGATCCCTTTCTTGTGCAACTTAGCGCTGGCTACCCAATCACATGGGGCTTCTATTATAGCTATCGCGTTAAAACCATGAAGGAAGATCTCCCAGCAGGGCTAAATCACCCTCACGGTTCTGGGGTGTGTCGTCCCCGCTGTTTTGAGGTAGATTGACAAAGCTGTGAATATACTACTGAAGGGGGGGTCCCCAAGATACATACTCTACCTCTCATCCTCCACAGGATGTCTTTTTGAGAGCAGATAAGGAAGGTTCTACCCAGGTCTGAGAGGCAGCTCGCAAGTTTTGCCCGGGTAAAGGGTTCTTCCGGAGATAGCCGTCAGATGAATCGAGGGGTGCGTATTTAATTTGTACCGATAACCTGTTTCTGCCTGTTGTGGGTTTAACTCCTGGAAAACCACAGCACCAAAACCAAAGTTGTATCACAGTCTGCGACACAGAACCGGGCTACCACAAAAAAGCAGTCTTGTTCTCTAATCTCACCTAATAGAGAAACTTAAAACAGGACGTATTACATAAAATAAACACAATATAAATGTCTAACAAGTAAGTGTATAGTATATGCTTATAATATGTATTTATAACTAAAGATTACAGTATTTATTGAAGGATATAATGTAAGGTGTACCCATCAGGTTTAGAGACAACGAATCTCGCTGCCCAGGTTACACTTCTTTTAAAATGGGAGAGCACAAGCTGTGCAAATAAATCTACAATCTATTGAAGATTCACATACTAGGAACTGAAACCTACGCTACAACGAAATCTTCCCAGGTGATAATTTGCCACTTACTGCTCAATCTCTTCTAATTTTTC